ATATATATATATATACTCTTATTTCCCTCTATCAGCGGATGGATAACCGGTCTTGCTGCGGTGAAAGATACTCCGGCAATTGGTGGAATCACCTTGGCTATTGCGTGCGTCTTCACTGGCATGGCAGTTGCTTGTGCTTTCTATCTCATTCGAGTGAGTCATCTTGGGGACACTCGTGTTTCCAAAATGGTACTTCGTTTTGATTTCATTGTATTTTTCCTTGATTTCACCAAGTGTCTACATGGGTTACGTCCTTTTTTTTACAAACGTTTATTTGCTGTCTATTCTGACGGGTTTATTGAAGATGCATATTGGTCGTTTTTCTTACAATCTGTCACGAGTGTTTGAGCCCGATCTGTAGCAGATTTCAGAAGATTAACGTACAACGCACACGGTCTTTCATCAGTACACCAGCCCTCGAATAAGAGCTTCTCACGGGTAATGGTCAGTGAGACCGGTCTTTTGAGAAATTTCTCACTAATTGTGCCATCAAACGTCATATGGCACCAAGGGTAGCTGATTTGTGACTGTACCATGAATGCTCTCAATTTTGCTGCTCCTATCATCGGGTTTGACAACAACCTTTGTATATTTCTTCTGTGCAACGTTTAGACACGCTTTTATGGCAATTAAGCATTCGATGACGATGATGATGAAGATAAATCTTAGTGACAACTGCGCCTAAAAGCAAGAAAAAAGCAGCTTCTCATCTTTGTGATATCACTGAACGCTGGTTTACTTTTCGGATGTTGTAGGTCACTTATTTTAAGTGATGCGCTGTCACATCTTTTTGCGAGGATTCAACTTAGACTCTTTGTCCATTTTGGGCAGCTGAAATTATATGCGAGATCCAGCTATCTAATTACGTTCATTTCCTCGTTACGTGACAACTGTTATTCGGTTTGTGGTTATCCATTTATTCGATTACGTCTTATCTACTATAACCTCGTTTTACGATTTTCATTTCCGATAACATCTGTGATAAAGCCAGATGATCGTCATACTGTCTTTATTTATTTCCTATAATGTTCTCTAAGACATATTACACTTTTACGTTGAGACAGTCGGACTAGCTCACTTTCTCCATCGCTTTTCTGGCCTCTGTTTATGTGGAATGTTCTGCGGAAACAATCAGAGGAAATAAAAGTGGTTTGGGTATGATGCTGTCCAGTTGCGAGTCCTCGCTATTTCCATGTGATATCAAATTTTGTCCCTAATGTAAACTGTTGAAGGAATGTCACCAGCATCTCATGTGACTGGAGCAGGCCACTGGGCATGCACGCGTAGTTGAGGACCAGACGTCTAGCTGCATGTATGCCCTTGGTACCGATGTTGACCCGAGGGGATAGGGTCGGCGGTCTAACGCACACGGGCCCGTCAAAACCAACAGCCGGCCTAAACATTATGGTCCAGCACTAGTGGCACGCGCGTCGTCCGTCAATTTTTTGGCTTCATCGTAGCACCACTCTCACTCGGTTTGACACCATGCTAATTTCCCGGAAGTCTACCCTTAGTGTTCCGCCGAAGTGCTCACTGACAACCTGGAATGAAACTGCCAATCCGTCACGTCAGCTTTTCTGTGTTGTCCCACTCCAGTAGAAAGTACAATCAGATCGAACGTCTCATAGCTTTCCTCGTTCAGTCAGCCACCTCTCACTGAAATCAGCGAGGTCTGTCGTGTAATGTTTGAGCTCTTTTGCAAGAACAACAGTTTGCCTTTCAGATCCTCCATCCTTATCCAGACGAGTCCTCGCTTTTTAGGTACCAAGTCGCAGAAGACGCTTTCACCCTCTACATTTCGTGCCATGTGCGTGAAACTGACAGAACCGTAACATATTTGGCGACGCTTCGTGCCATTGCGTGAAACTGACAGAACCGTAACATATTTGGCGACGCAAGATGGAGGCAGAACAACTCAAAGTAATGTTTGAGCAACAACCTCAACTCATCAAAGTACTTACGGAGCGGCTATCAACTACATCTTTGGCTTCACCGGCGGCGTCGAGCGTCCCACAGTCGGTTGATGGAATCGCTGGCAGTATCAACGAATTTTGCTATGAACCCTCAGCTGGCATAACGTTTGATGCTTGGTTTCGTCGCTATGAAGACCTGTTCAGGGTCGA